AAATACTAGTAACCTACGAATATCCTCTACTCTTACCGGTCATGTTTCACTGCCAGAGAATAGGACGGAACGAACTGCTGCGCAGTAAACACGTCCTTTGGTTGATAGACGGATATCTCGCCTACGCCATAAATGACGCAAGTTAGTAAAAGCTAGTCGAGCCTTCTGTATCCGTGCTGAGATTTCGTCACACACCACACCACAAGGGCTGATGAGACTTCCAAGATAAGTGAAGCGGTCGACATACTCAACTACTTCACTCCCTATCACTAGTTCGGGTGTCGATGTAACCCAATCCTGAAGCAACATTTTGCATTTCGAGGGAGAGAATCGCATCCCGAACATGCTTGCATTGTTGCTTAGAGTGGTCAGAAGACTCTGCATTTTGTCAGCGTCTTCACCAAATAAAACTATGTCATTTGCATATTCTAAGTCAACAAGTGAACCTCCCGGTAGAAGTTCAACCCCTGTAAATTTAGATGAGGAGAGTGTTATCTCTAAAAGCATGTCAATAGCAAAGTTAAACAAGAATGGAGAGAGTGGACAACCCTGACGAACACCACTAGAGGTAATCAATTCTGATGACAGTTCGCCATAAGCTCTCACTCGACCAGTTGTGTTTGAGTAGAGAGCCTTTACAAGTTTAATGTACTTCTTTGGTACTCCTTTCAGTGACAAACACTGCCATAGAACCTCACGATCAACAGAGTCGAATGCCGCCTTAAGGTCGAGAAATACTACCATTGTGGGGCGTCTGAATGTGTGTTTATGTTCTAGGACCTGACGTAGTGTGAATATCTTGTCTATACAACCACGTCCAGGTCGAAAACCAACCTGATTTTCTCTAGTCTGCTCTTCACGAGCTTTGATTAGGCGTCGAAGTATTATTGAAGCTAATATTTTAGACACTATATTAGTCAAACTGATTACTCTGTGATTGTCACAAGAGGACTTTTGTCCTTTCTTATAGACTGGCACAATCAGTGATTGAGACCAGTCAGATGGGATTACGTCCAGTTCACAAATTCTACCTAAGACCTCGGTTAATCTCATTGCTAATACTGGACCATCATCCTTAAAAATCTCAGGAGTAAATCTGTCAGGGCCTGCTGCTCTCCCTCGCTTCAGATTTCCTATGGCTTTTTCAACTTCGTAAAGAGTCGGAGGACGTACACTAACTTGCCATTCAGGTAGACTGGAGATCGTGGGAAACCGAAGTGTGACTGAAGGCCAGTTGAACTGATCCCTAAAGTGTTCTGCCCATCGATCCAATCTCCTGGATTCAGAATGAATAATATGTCCATCTTTCTCTGAGATTGTTTCGCTAACAGTCGGTTTCCTAATACCGGTTTCCTTAACAAGTCTGAACAATTGTCTGCTATTACCTATTGCCGCTGCCTTTTCCATCTCTCTTGCTTTCGCCACCCACCACTGTTCGCGACCATTGCGTAGACTTCTTGTCAGCTTGCGCTTAAGCTGACTCCGCTCTTCATTATGTTCAGAGCCAGGTGGAATGAGTTTCCGAGCATCTATCAGTGCGATAGATGCTGTTGAGATCCAGTGTTGCTCCCTAACCTTCTGCTTTACCTTACTAGCAGATATCACTGCTGTTTCCACAGCTTTTCGGATATCATTCCATGCTGCATCGGGGTGGGCATCACATACATGGCTGCCTAACTGTTTTCCTAGTTGTTCCTGAAATATACTCTTAGCTTGACTATCATTAAGTAGGCCCCTAAGAGGTTTCCTTGCAGCGTCTTTCCTACGTCCAGCAAGACGCAAGCAAATACGCGCTCGCACTAGAGCATGATCTGGATCTAGGCATGTGCTCCAGAATGAGCGACAGCCTTCTATCGAGCCCCTCCATCGGTGGCTGATAGCGATGTGATCTATTTGGGTCCAACGTTGGGACGAATTAGGGGGTCGCCATATTAAAAGATGTTTTTCCTTATGCTTAAAGTTAGTATTTGCAAGGAATAGGCGGTTATCTGAGCATAGCTGCAACAGACGGTCGCCATTATCTGTTCTTTGAGCCACGACACCATAAGATCCACCTAGGTGTCTTTCCCTATCGCTTAGTTTACCTACTTGAGCATTAAAGTCACCGGCCACTATTACTACATCTGAGCGCTTAGCTTTTCGGAGAAGGTCCGAAAGCTTTCTGTAAAACTCATCTTTTACATCATCTGAGCTGCAGTCAGTGGGAGAATAGGCAGAGACGACGAAGAGGCAACGACGAGTGTCCCTATCTTTCAGGATTCTTACTGTTCCGTTCAGTCGGACAGCGCACAAACGACTGTTTACTGGGATCCACTCTAAGAGAGCTAGTTCTGCCCTAGGACTCAATGCTATACCTACGCCGGCGAGGCCACGAGAAGCGGAGTCAGGGCTTCCAGATACACGAAGCGTAAATCGAGTCGGTTCTTTATTTTGGCATGGTGAGGTCAAATGAATGACGCTACTCGGATCCTGTATGCGCGTTTCGGAGACGCAGCACACATCGATGGCGCGAGATTAAAGTTTTAGCTAATGAAGCCTGCTGTCCTATTTGGCAAAGTGTTCGTACGTTAAAAGCTCCTACGTGTAGTTTAGAGCGTGGTTTCAGGAGACCAGGAATGGCGTTCCACGTACTCGAATCGTTTGCCCTAGCGGTGCGAGGTGATATAGAGACGTGAGGAGGGTTAGTCGGGGAGATAAGAGAGGTATTAGGAGGTGTAGGAAGGATTTGAATGTGGCCACCTTGGTCTCTTGTGCTGTTATGGGTATGAGGGCTGATGTCACTTCCCGGTTGCCCACACCGTGGAAGGGTATTTCTTGAGGAACCTGAAAGGGAAATTGGATTAGTGTTGGTCTTGACGACCTGAGAGCCTGACCGCAGAGCCCAAGGGACAACTGCTTGAGGCCGGTCGCGCACGGCCTTTTCGTGGGAGGTTTTTGACGTGTTAGTTTCGTTCTTCAAAGAGCCTTACCGCCGGAGACGGAAATCTGTGAGGTAAGGTGAGGTGTGACATTTTTAGGGTCGACCTTTTCTAACCCCACCCCTCCTTGTGGGAAGGCAGCATCGCTGTCATGCTGGTTGTCCGAGGGAAACACCTTACTGTTGTCACACCTCTGTACAGTCAGCAGTACGACCTCGCCCTCAGACCTTGAGTTGCTGCTTTTAGTCTTACCGTTCACCAATCGACCTGCCTGGCATGGTAGAACCTGCAGGAACATATGTTCCAGCCAATATAGCTCGGTTGGGTCATCACGATAGGCAAGCCCGACCACCGCGTCAAGGTAGCAGCTTCGATCGGGGTCGTGACTACGAACGCTACTTAGCAGATCACGTTGCTTCTCCGACTCTAGGATTACCTTAAGGAGTCTGCATGGTCGGGGTTCAACGTTGTCCTCGATCCTCTTACCTATTCTAACCAGTTTTTTTTATACCTGAACTGCTTTAAGGTTATTTGGTAAGATACTACGAATATATTCTCCCAATTTCTCCAAATCATGCGTGTGTCTAATTTTGGGATCAGGTTCGTTTGACTCCAGCAATTTTCTCACAATAATATTCGATGAGATTAGCTTCTCCTTCTCAGTCATCACGCCAGCGTGGGTTTCTCTCTTACTATCAAACTTTGGTAGTGCATTTTGTACCTCACAATGGAAGCCCACCAATGACTTGCTAATCAGCTGCGTACTGTTTACAGCTTTTTTCGTTTCGTTTTCTCCGTACAGTAGTCCATTTTCCATCCCTCAGGACACCGGGACGATGTGGAACGGTGACGGCTTTATCCGGATCTTGAATTTCCACTGGAGGTGTACGATTAACAATGTCAGGCAGTACTTCCCTTCTCGTTAATGTTAACGGAAATTTCACTTTTCCGTCAATCACAGTCGGGTGTTTGAAGCATCTCGTAACAGCACGTACACTGACACGCTCTTCACTGTCAGTGCTCGTGTTTATAGCGCAACCGCCATCGTTCTTCTTACAGGCCAAAGTCAATAGGCTCAGAGCCTCCCGTATTAGTGACGTCTTATTTGCACAGCACAACATGCAAAACCAATGCGAGTTCGGGTTCGAGCATCTTTTGTATGCGGTGGGACTTAAACGGGTACACATCTTATGGAACCACTTTTTGCACTCATCACACTGCATTCCTTCATCCACAGGGAACAAACAGTTTGGTTGTCCACATTTATGAGTACTACCGACCACTGTAGTCAGATTAAGGTTTAAAACACAATATGAGCAAAAGTGTCAGTCAATAAGTAAAAGGGTACCACAAGACGAACTCATTGTTACTCGAGTGAGTTGGAAGCAAGAATATTGTTTCAACGCTGTTAGTGAATCTGTACTGTGTTTAGTGGGATTCTGAAGTTCATACGAAGTGTCTTACCACAGAACAAAGTAATCATGTAGTATGGTTCCGTATACTCTAGAAGACTTAAAGGCTCAAAACCAAACTCAGAGCTTTCACACTTAGATGGTTGTTCGTCGCATCAAGTCTCCAAGTCCTAGTATCCCACTAAATGCGTGATACCAGTGTAATTTGTTAACAACCTTAATAAAACTGCAAAGACCAATTTTCATATGAAAAAAACTACTAATATATTCCACATCTCTCCGTGTTGTTTCTTCATATATTATGAAAGCATCAACCAAATAAATTCTGTGCATTAATAGACGTATGTATAACATCTGTCGTGGCAACCCCTCAAAAGATGCTGGTACGTTGTATCTCCTCATGTGTGCTAACTTGATTCTTAATGTCTCGCTCGTCGTCATTAGGAAATTAATAGTGTAAGTTGCTTAATTATGATAAAATACCAATTCTTACTTTGTGACACTACACTTAAACTGTCTGCCACCCTGTCATTTGCTCATTTTGTTTTGCATTTAAACCTTTATTAAGATTCACTCCATGAGGATATTCGTTTTAATCCTCACCCTTTGTAAAATAATGTCCTGTTTTTACTCAGCTTAGTGATTTTGACGTTATCAATTTGTTAAATAGTACCTTACCGAAAATCCACAACACGCTGAGGAAAAATATCGCAGACTCAGTGTCTCAACAACACAGATGGTTTGCGAAAAGTGTAAGTCGAGTTTTGCGTAACAAGTTTCGATTGACAGGCGAGAGGAAACTGGGCAAAGTAATAACTCCTGATCCCTGGAAAGCTGGTGCACGGAACACAGTCAGTGGTGGTGGGAGGAAACTTAATGAAAATAAACTACTAACTAGTTCCAAAAATCGATTTAGTCCTTACTCTAATGCGTTCCCAAGATGCAGAATATGTGCTCAAACCGTACATCAGCCAGGTTCCTATTACTGTCAACAGTGTGCATTCAAGAAAGGCATTTGTTCGATGTGTGGTGTACGTCTGGTTAATACAACCCAGTATAACCAGTCAGCTGCCTAGTTGGACTTTTTGGGACATTTAAAGTTCTATTTCTGATTTTTCAAAAACATGTGTAAAATTAGTGTAAATAACATTATTTATTTCTCAACCTGTTTGTTTGCTAACTTTATGAAAACTCGAGTGTTTATTTAATTTGCATATCAGGAGAATTTAAAATCAAATCTCAAAATAAAGTTGATTTTTATTTGCTTGTATTGCGGCAGTACTTTAAAACATCAGGATATTAATTTGTATACATTTTAGATTTATCCGAGCGAACATAATTTTGACAAATGTTTTCGTGGTGAAAGTGCCTTCTAATTTTGCAGACTGTTTCGTCTGAATTTTTAACCGTTTCGCACATAATTCTATTCTGTAAAAAGAGTTAGAAAGTACTAATTACACGTAAGCATTTAACAACGATAGATATTTAAAATAACCCATAGTGTCATTGAATAAGCAAAAGAGGTTTCAGCGAAGAAAATTTTCTTTTCGACGAAACCATTTACTTTTATTTAATTTCATGGAATGTTATGTTATTTCTGGTGTGATAATACGCTCTAAACTACAGTTTCGTACCTAGTATCAGATAACAAAACAGTCTTTGTTAGCTAGGACTAGGATTTCACGCCGTCCATGTATGCTGTCTCCGAAATGCGCCTTCAGGATCCAAGTACGGTCATTTGCTTGAGCTCATCTTGTCATTATGAAGAACTCACGCGATTTACCCTCCCAATATCCGGGGACCACATTGCTACTTCGCATGGCCTCGCTGGTGTAGGTATAGTATTAAGTCAAGATGGGGACACCTTTACCTTTTTGTTTTCTCAACCTACGCTCACATTGGCCAGCTCGGATAAAGTAAAAGATGAATTCCACGAGGTTATTTAGGTTCCTTCAAAAGGCTAAACGCTATGATGCAGTAATAGTGATAGGTGATTTTAATGCTCGAGTAAGTTGACTGAATTGGACCAAAAAGCTCCTAAATGGGTCCTACAATGTCGCCGCTCAGTGAACAGATAGTGGCAATCGTCCACTGCAACCATGCTCAGATAACAGTCTACTTTAAAAAAGAAACAACAACTTTAAACATGAGGAACATCATCTGACGTGGCAAACTATACAATTTACTCAAATAGATCACGACACTAATCATCGTTAGAGGGACTCGATAGAAGCCTTGTTCATTCTGGAGCACAGGTTTGAATCCGGATCATACTATAGTCCAAACACATATTTGTCTGCATCTTGATGGGCGGAGAAAAGCCACATCAAGAAAAACCCTTGGTGTACAACTTAATGACGAGAAAGTTAAAGATATAATTCAGGAACAACTGGAGAATGAGCTAATCAGCCGAAAGAATGATACCCTTGAGATAGCTTGGTATGATATCCAAAAAGCTGTGGAAACAGTTGTGATATCTACTAGTAAGTGAAACGAAAGGGTGAGGAAACGTTCGTTTCATTTAGTCTAAAATTTACTCTAGAATAGGATTATTTCTTCCAGGTACGTCATAATTAAAATATTTTCGGTAGTTTTTCATTAAGCAATCCTCTACGATATCATACATAGTAAGTTGACTGAATAATGATGAAATCGAATAACCCTTAGTATAGTTACTGTTAATTGAAGTCATGAAAAAAGGTAGCGACAGAACCTACCTCTGAATCCCTCAGATTAAGGTCACCGCAAAATATACTTGCACGGCTTTTGTTTAAACGAGCTTGAGAATCGCCACACTTGACATAACTGGACATTGTATCCCAAACACTTTTCAATTGAGTCACCCGTTCACCAGAATATTCTGCACAACTTCCCAAGTGTGTAGTAAATATTCGTAGATTTAATTCTACATTAGACTTGGATAGAAACTGTGATAAATTCAGATCAATAGATAGTAGATGACGATTCATTACAGAATTAAGAAATGTTTGAATTTGTTTAAATTAATAATCTCAACAATACTTCGACGATATAAGCGATGCATGGATTAGGAATAGGATATTAAGTAAGGGCATTATATCAATTGATGTAGTAGAAAATCTCCACCAACCGGCTATTGTAACGCGTTACATATGATCGACCATCGCTTAACCCGACAGCTGGTGGAGTAGGTTTGGAGAAAGGTAGGAAGGACCAGGACGAAACATGGCATCTGTTGAGTGACAGCTGCATTTAGCCATGCTAATATGTGCAGAATACCTGGTCCAGGTCCATGTGATCATCGTAACTAATTGTTAACGACATTTAATGAAATGGGACGAAATCGCTTGCAGTGACGCAAACTCCTAATAACATTTGACTGATTTATATTTTCCCATCGTATCATTAATACCCTGTCTTTCTTATTACTATTGATACTGTTACCACCTCTAATATTCCGAGGTTTGGGAATTTCATCTCTGTGCTAACAGGGCAACTCGGACCGATGTACATGCTTACCAGGTTCTGTGATGTGACTGACTGAAACGCGTGGAAAACTAAACTGATATCAGGATTTCAAAATAAAGCTATATCACTCACTTAAATAATATTTGTGAGGAAACAGCTTGTATCACTTACGTTATTTATTCGAAGACTTTATGATATGAGCCGTAACAACAGACGAAGATTGATACTTGCGCTAATACTGCTTTACTTACTGCTCGGCCTCATGCATAAAAGAATTATATGAATGATTAGCGGACCAATATTTGTGTAAAATTGATCGATTAGAGTACTGACAAGATGTAAAGCAAAACAAATTGTACCGAATGGAAGTCTTTCATGTTAATTACTTTCAAACGGTTGATATTATGTTACACAGCCTGATTTTCCAACTCACATCACAAACGAAAACTGTTGTCACTTTCGGTACACGTGAAGACTTGAAGTACTTTTTTTCATAAACATTATGTGTTGCTAAACCTCTAGAGCATCCAGGTTCGCATTTAAAGTGTTACCGTTTAGTGAACCAAGCATTATTATTCGCCAGCAACGTATAGGAAGACAGCTTGTAAAATGTTTCAACAGATACATTATTTAAAATAACGAGGTAAAAAGCCAAGGTAGAGCACCAGTATATTCAAAAGTGACATTTTTAAAATAGCTAATTCCATTTACAAGCACTTAGTATTGATTGATAAGTTAACTGGCAATGTTGGCAACTTTTTAAGACTATTGAATGAGTGGCTGATCAATCATACGACCACGGAAACACAAAGGCCATGCATTTGAAGGGTCTGCAAATTCAGATGCTTCCAGAAATAAAATTACAGAAAATTATGAGATTTTCAAGGTGAATATCTTTGATTGGCACACAGAAGTTATGCAGGATGCTTTACTTCTTTACCAACGAATCCTGAAAGTGTACCTTCTTCACAACCGACTTTTGGTTTGTCACGATCTACGGGGATTTAACATATTTATAACATTGAGCTTACTCTTAAAATCAATGTATACGATATCGAAAGCCGCAATAAAATATGCTTTAGCAACAACTGGAATATAATTTCTAGGATAAGATAGTTCCATATTGTCATCACATCCATGGAAACCTAGGTGTCCTATATAGCTAAAAAGGTGGAGTCAATATTGAAATACCAGGATATATCCAGTTATTAGCTCTGAATATAAAGACGAGTAAAAAACGGTCGACAGAAATTTATTATCCTTTAGTCGAACAACAAGAAAGTAAGTGCAACAAAATAAGCAATGCGAAAACACTGAACGTTACTCCCGGCAATTTGAATTTAGCGCAAGTCGAAAAAAAGTCGGGCTCGAGGACGAACATTAGCTTCAGACAAACACCTATTTCGAGCTAATAAAAATGATCAAATTAGACTTATTCTGTTATAATGTGAGTATCAAGGTACAACGAATGGCTTCCCAATTAATTCCATGCACAATATTATTTTGTTCTCTATGATACTATGTAGATAGCGATAACAAACGTAAATATGTCTTCGAAAATATATTGAAAAAAATTAAACAAATGGTTTTTTACACAGACAAAATCACACTTTCTTAGAATAAATAAGCTTATGAATTCTCTTCTGTAAGGAATTGTCACGCTTTTTTTATATATTATTTTGATCTTAGCAGAGAGAAAAACCGGCAAATTATATGGAAAAACATAAACCACGAGAAAAAGCGTTTAGATTATGCAATGAGATACATGAATAAAGAATATTCAACTTGACAACTACAAATACGTGTATAGATTAGGCTCCAATCTCACAAATGCATTGATAGTTAATCACCAAATTTGATTCAGTAGATTTACTTATATGATAATGTTTAGCAGTCATGTAAAACGAAAAATCAGGGACGTTTCTTTATCGTTTTTGGTCGCCATACCAAATGAGCATAATGATACCGGATCATAAAAATACCTTGGTTATAGACGTTGTAACAGAACCAGTGGTAATGGAAAAGAAAGGGTGTAAAAATAGGCAAATACATTTCGAAACTCAGGTTCTGACAGGAAACAAGAAATAGATGTACTTATGATTTTGCACACGATTCCGAACCTTGCCAGGTTTCAACCGATTAGTTACGATAATTACGCGGACCCCAATCATGTGGACCACACTCTTCTGCATAGCTCAGTTCGAAGTCAACGTCTTTATTGATTGAGGCCATGACTTGGTTTGGCTTCCAATAGCTTTCTTACAGCCTACAACGCCAGACATCGAGCGTTGAGGCAGGTAGTAGTAATGAATACATGATACACGTGCCTAAGTGATAAATATTTACTACCTCCTCAGCCGACCTGCAATCCTCACCTAGTATCTTATGGTTAACGGTAGCTTTGCTGACTCGGTGAGCATTTTGAAAACTTCTCTGATTGAACATCAGTAACCTACGTTTGTCCTCTATTCTCAATATGATTGTTTCACACTCATGGAGCAGAGTGGAGCAAATTCGTCATTTGGTTACTAGACACATACATTTCTTACGTCACATGAGACACGATTCGACAATACCAACCGAGTTTTTTAATCCTTGACAATATTTCACCAGACACCCAACAACCAGG